AGACTCGACAAAAAATCAAGAAGTCTGCAATCTTGTTTGCTTTCGTCAAATTCCGCAAATTATATAAATTCTTTGGAGTCAGGCATACCTCGCAAAAAACATCGTTATTATATCTTGGAGAAACTGATAAAAATTAGAATTTGTGAGATTCCGAAACTAGGTAGCAAACCACAGCCAAAAATCAAAGACAACTTCAAAATTTTGGTTTCGATTCCATTTCTACCGCTGAAGTTACCATGGAAAATTTGTTCTGTTCTAATGCTCTGTCAAGTGTGAAATTTATCAAATTCTCTTTTCAAATTTCATTTTAGTTCAACATGCATTTATTTTTTAACAGGTCAAAGAACTTGAAGTTCGATTTTTATTAAGAAAAATAAAAAATTCATAAAGTGAATCAAGTGTTTTTCACGCATTCTAATGAGAAGATTTATAAGCAAGGATTTATGAGACAATCTCAAATATTCGCTCTAATCCGCTAAATGCACATTAAGTCCTCTATAAGGAAGAATTATGAAATTGTCTCATGTATTAGAATGTTTTTTTCATTTTTTGTGAAACTTGAGAAGACTTTAAAGAAATTTCTAATCGGGTTTTGGAATCATTTGTGTTTTGATGAACAAAGCAGTTTTTCTCATATATATACATACAGTTTATTCACGTTTCCAGATGTCTTGCTCTCAGAGAGTATTTTTCCCCTCCCCCCCTCCTCCCCCCGCCACCACAAATAAGTTATGAGATTTACAGTTTACGCTTCAGTGCTTGATGATGCTTGGAGCAGATGCAAAAACAAGTGTCAATCCTACGAAAAGAAATCACGCTATGGAATGGAAATGCAGTAAATATGAAATAATTCATGCCAACAGCTGGACTGCATTTTAGGAGCTGCGAACTGTCTGATAACATATGCATATGCTTCCTTATGATTTATAGCATTACATCTACTCATGCTTGTATATGCAGATGCTTTTTAGCAGTGATTTTTTCGCTTAATTTGTGGGAAAACGGCGCATAAAATAATAGTTATGTTAACATAAAATTTACGGTCTTTAGTGTTGTAATAAATTGAAACATCTGCGTATTTCATTGCTCAGTTTCCTAGAAATTTACATACTGTCTGAACTTATACTGTTACAAGTGCTCACACAATTGACTGAAACTTCAGCAGAACATATGGGAAATTTTTGCTGGGGTTCTTGCGAAAGTCCCGTAAACGTGCTGAGGAAAGTTCCAAATGAGATACTGCGGAAGTTCCGAATAATGCGACACTATCCTCTGCACTGCGGATGACATGTTCGATAATGTGCTCCAGTTGTTGAGGAGGCAACATCGTAAGAGACAACACATTCAAAAACCTGCAAAAGTACTGGCATTCAAATTGCTGCGGGACCGCTGGCATTTTACGGAATTTCCGCAGCGCTTTGTAAAAGTCCTGCGAAACTTCCATCAAAGTTCTGGTTTTCAACCAATCTGACGTGAAAATACTGCGAACGTTTCCATCTTCAACGTTTCGACTTATGCGGAATCGCTGCAAATTTTGCTTGTCCTGCGGAAGGTGCATAGTCTAAGTGGATTTTTTAGTACTTTAATCTCACGCGTATAAGGCGCGGGGGATCTTTTTTTCAAAATCGACCAGCCCGGACACGCCAAAGGACTTTACAATTGAAGGACCCCATAACGTATATTGCTTGAGAGAATCGTGCAATGTAAGGATTTCTTTCCGGGATGCAGTGAACCGGCTGAGCGGCTCGCTTGAAAATTCGAAAAAGTGCGCCTTATACGCGTGAAATTAGGGTATTTCCCACAATAAGATTTACAGATGTATTGTCTCAATTATTAGGTTTGTATAGTGCATCATCACTGTAAAATATTCTTGTCAATCTCCCCTTCCTCGTCTGTGGAATTTCTGACGGCAAAATTCAAAACAAGCGCTTTCACCCGCTACTTCACAAAGTCAGTCAGTGGTCATGTGGTGTATATTCTGCAACAAATGAGTAAATCTTTTAATTCAGCTAGAGACGGCTGGAAGGCGGGGCTTTGTGACCTGATTAAGACCGCTCGCGCCCACGACGCAGTCTGCGTCTCTCTCGCTTTCTGGTCATTCTCTAGTCAATTAGCTCACGAAGCCCGCCTTCCAGCCGCGAATTCCAGTTGAATCAAAGGGTATATTGACAGCAGTAGTCACAGAATAAACTTCTTTTTATGAAAGGGGGTGGGGAAAGGGAAGGGCATGCAGGAGTTCCTAGCAACTTTTCCTCGCACCATAGTTAGCACCAAGCATTCGCACCCAAGAGGGTTTCTACCAAATCCGAGCTCAGAGGTCAGACCCCGCCCATTGCTCCGCCTATTGACTAGTCTCATTGTGAGGTGTGCAAGTAGCACAAACACAGTACAGATATTGAGGTAATAAGAGTGAAAAAAAATAGGGGAAAATGAAGAGAATAGGCATCACTTCGTATGTGATTCATATAGAAGTATAGGTCATTCTTAAAATCGTGACGACGGGTTTGACTGCGGTCTTTGCGCACAGAGGAGTAAAAAAACCCATACAAACAGGCGTCACCTTAAGGCTCACCTCGGTCACATTCAGTGTCTGAATACAATCATATTTGAGCAGGAAAACCATTCGAGGGGAGAAACCAAGAAAATGCGGTTGTTGGAAATGCGTGCGTGTCGCGCGCGGTCGTGCCATATCTATACTGTAGCGTTTAATGGAAATGGCTGTGCATATACGGTCTATCAACGCTACCACAGGGGAGTATAAACTGTAAGAGAAGAAATGTCGTTTTCTAACACACTATGTAAGTGCGAGAAAGGAATATGAAGACGTAGTTTTCATTGAATTTCAGGCATAATTTAGTGATAAATTTGATATTCAAGCTATTCGAAACTATAATATAATTGCAGCAACTCAGTAATTCGAACTAGTGATTATTAGATAAAAAATTGTTTCCACGAGTAGATGTTGCCATTTCTCGGGATTACTTGATTTGATTACTTGCATGCTGGTTGAATTGAAGGATCGAACTACTCAATTACTCTTTGATTCAACTGGCTTGGCGGCTGGAAGGCGAGGCCTCGTGACCTAATTAAGGCTAGATAATGATCAGAGAGCGCGCGAGCGAGAGAGACGCAGACTGCGTCGCGGGCGCGAACGGCCTTAACTAGGTCACAAAGTCCCGCCCTCCAGCCGCCAAGCCAGTTGAATCTAAGGTTATATACAATAGAAATCAAATTTGTGAGTTTTTGTAGAAATCATAGAAGAATTCTTCAAAATTTACATCAAAAATTAGGTTGCCAACTTGGATGTGGTTATAGGACATTTAGCATTCAACTTCCCTAATGACTGTATTCACAGGAAGGCTAGAAGTTGCCTTTCTAAAACTCGAAATTAAATAAAAATTTCCGGTTCCCTTCATTTCAAATTACTATGCCAAAGCTGGAAAAACTCAAAAGATGTTTGAATACTCGAATGCTTGCTAGACACTTTCTCTAACTGTTTGGAGGTTCGAAAAAATAAAATAAAAATAAATATTTAGAGCAGAAACACGTAGCTGAAGGAGGCATCGTTTAATTATTACGTTGATCGCATGACTAGCACTGATTCGAATTTTGTGAATTCAGCTGGAGCCATTCCTTGCTTCCAAAATTTCCAAAGACCTGGAAAAATTTTTTGAATCAATCTTTTCATCAACTCTCACTGTCCATCAATATAGAGAATTTTACGGCATACGAACAGTACAGAATAAGCGCACTTAGAAGGCCGATTATAGGGAAGGGGCATCTTTCAGTCTTGTGAAGGTGTAATCTTAACATTTTTTCAAGTTTTCAGATCCTTCAGGACTCTGTCCACCTTGATTTAGAAGTCTTAAGTCTTAAGCTATAGGCAGCTTACGACAGTGGGACTCACAATCAAGCCGATATCTCCCTTGCTTCCAAAAATTGCAAAAACATTGAAAATTTATAAATCAATCTTTCATCAACTCTCACTTCCATCAATATAAAGAATTTCACGGCATATGCACAGCTCAGAACGAGCGCATTTAGAAGGCGGAACAATAGGCGAAGCCACCCTTTGGCCTTATGAAGGTGTGATCTCCTAAGACACCATCCACCCTAAGTTAGTAGTCTCAAGCTTTTGGCAACTTACGTGGGACTCCCTATCAAGCCAATACCGAACTCGCAGCTCAAAATGTCGCTTCGAAAGCGAGAAAATCGCTTCGGAATAGCAAAGAGACATGAGGACCCCAAGTCAGCAACGCCCACCTCCAGTATGCCCGCCCCTCCGCGCGCGACCATCCAATCACCGTTCCGGAGAAGCCTGCGATTTCTCCGGAATGGAAATTGCCGGGGTTTCCGCGGAGTCTCGATTATATCTTCGGAATCAGTGACCTGAAAAGGCTTCAAAAGGACCAAAACATGGAAGTCGAGAATTTGTGTGGACAGTGCCTTTGAATTCTTAAGATTTCATCAAACGTACTGACTGTTCATAATCGAATTGTTCTTTTACTTTGTACGTGTTGACAATTGTTTCTCCATTATTCCGTTGTGCCTTTTAGCATTTTCTGTTTGTTCAGTTTTGTATTTTTCACATAGGGTTTCCTATGTAAATGAAAATGAAATGAAATGAAACGTCATAGTTTCTGCCACTCTTGCGAAAAAAATTTTGTGGTATTGATTTATTTTTGAAAAATTACTGAAACTTCTCGAATTATCTAAAAACATAAGCGAATTGACAAGGACAATCTTTCAAACTCATTTTTACAATTTTTCGAAATTTTCTGACATAATTTTAGAATGATTAAAAGCAGTCAATTCAGTAAAATATTTCATCTGTTTGTTTTGGTCACCCCTACAATCCCCTCAGGTTATGTCCCCAATGGAAGCCATGACCTTCCACAAGTAGTATGGGTCATTTACCTTCAGGCATATGTAGCCCCAAGCAATCACTCCAGAATGATATAAAAAGCATGTGACAATTATGTGAATCCATTCTGACTGTTCCCAATGGCTAAGAGAAATCTCTTTGCCTGTAATGCAAATTATGCCGATACCCCGCTATTCAGTATGTCGGATTTTGAAGGGGAAAATAAAAGGTAGGTCATTATTTGGTTGTTTTTCTACTGTCTCCTGAGCAAATTAATTTTTAGGATAAAAAAACCCCCAGTGAGTCCGGCAACGGAGTTTCTTCTCGAAGGTGCACTGCAGAACATTCAAGATGATGTAAAGGGTCTCAAACGAACAACATCTGAAAGCGGCCAGCTTCAAAAAGTATTTGGGGTTCGACTGGACAATATGGAGGAGAGTCTAAACGAAGTTAGGATCACTTTGGACAATATAGCGCATCATCTTTTACCAAGAAAGCCATGTAAGTCAGAAATATAGTCACAAATTTCGCTATGTTCGAAGAGGGGCTGAAAGAGTGTAGAAATGTCAATGAAAACTTTCCTTTCTAGGGGGGTGTAGAGTACAGAATAAATGTTGACTTTCTTACGGACATTGTCAAAGTAGTGAAAATGTCTTCGCAAGGAAAGACGGTAAACAGACCTATTCATTTTGTTCATTTTTTGCGACATTGTCGAACCAATAAAAAAAATCGTGCGAAAGAAAAGTTAACAAACATTGTAATTATAGCGAAGTTAGGAAAAGGAAAAGTGCTGTAAGGAGGGGTGGGAGGAGGGAAATTTTCTTGTTAATGTCCCTTCTGCACCACGGAAGTAAAGAAAAAAGCTATTTGTGGGATTCTTAGTCTGGTTTTTTCTCGAATTTCAAAGTTCATGTACGACCCTAGAGGATAGAAAGAGAAATTTTTCGACCAACCTTGTTTGGGAAAAATTATTTTAAATTTTTAAGCATTTTGGTAAATTTTACACTCATAGAGGGAAATTTTTCCGTTTTTGTGTACATTTTGCACCTAGAAGGGAATGACAGGATATTTCTCAAAAAGGTCTTGTATTAGAAAATTATTTTTGATTTTTTGAAAGACTTTTGTTTAGATTTAGATGAAAAAAAACAAGTTTTAGGAGAAGGCTTTGTATGAGAAAACTACTTTTGTAGGAGATGTTTGGAGGCATTTACAACCAATTATGTGAAGCTATTTTGATATTTTTTGGATTTTTGGGTGCATTTACACATGGCACAAGCAAATTTTCCAAAAATTCTTATGGAGCATCATTTATGGATTATTGCTTGCGTTTCAGGGTTTACGTACACCTTCGTAACGGAAGAAACTGTAGAATCACTCTATCAAACTCATATGAATAATCCTTCCCGGTTTGCTGCTGCCTTAGAATCCCTGGTCTACCTAAATGATCCCAGTGAAATGCAAATTGCCGTCAACAAACGGGAACAGTCAGAAGCAAGGATTCAGTTCATAAAAAATGTCGGTAAATTAATTTAATCAACCCACAAATGCCTAATCAATCAATATTCATCTTTAGTGTCTATTCTATCACTTCAACGTCTCGCTCCAATTACAAGATGAAGTCTGGAAAAGTGTACGAGTTACACTGGATGGGCGGGCTAGTCGAAATAGGAGGAGTGGGAGATTTACACCCAATAAGTCTGGTTTTCGCACTTCTACACCAAAATTACTTGACATTGTAAATCAATAGGTCATCCGAGCTTTTATATTAGCATGTATGTACGCAGAGATATATGAAAAATATATTTAGATTTTTATTTGATTTGCTTTAGGGCAGATTATTGTTTGTAGTGCATTTTTGCGTTTTGACTTGTTCGAATACAATCTGCAGAATGTATGGATCTTCGCTTTTTTTCCTGTTTCAAAGAGGAAATAAAGACTTACAAGGAGAAAAACAAACCGATTTTTCCTTGAGTGATTTGGAGTGAAAAATACACTAAGCATTTATATTACTTTATTTCAACGCAGATTACTCAAAAGGTCTCTTATGTGGCACAATTCTCACAGAATCATTCACCAGTAGCGGTCTTCAGCATATCCCGAATCGGGACCGAATTGTGAGGCTGATCCGTAGCCTAAAAATAACATTTTTCAGAAAAGTTGAAAATTGGAAGTTGTAGCTAGAGAGGTCTCACCTCTGAAGAAGTTATTGGCGTACTGAGTATCAAAATCTGGTGATGATCGCAGTCCTCGAGCATTCTCAAAGTCTTGTCTCATTTGACGTGCTGGAAATCGCTCGAGTTGGATGTTTTGAATTGTTGCCCTCTCCTCCGATTTCATCACCCGTAATTGAAATTTGACGTCAAGCTATGCAGATGAGCGTAATTCAATCAAATTTTTGAACAAGTTTTCAGGTGTCAGATTTCTTATGGGGCACTCAAAGTGATGAATGAATCTTTGTTCAAGCATGGAATGAGTATCAAGTGTCAGAAAGTTCAAAGATAAACAGAACCATCTTTTCCTGGAAACAGCTTTAAAAAATCGGGTCAAGTTTCATAGATCAAAATTCGAAAATTTTTCTGGTACTCCCTGCCCGCCCCTTCTCTACTCTTGTACTGTTTACCCAGATTGGGTCTTTCTTTGATTTTTCGTACATGCCATCCATACTTCACCTTTACAGACGAAAATATCTAGCACTTAGAGAACTCCTTACCACCCTTCCCGGTGCAAGCGACTTTTTCATGAAAGATTAGAAATAATTTTGTAAGTGTTTTAAAAATCAATAAGTTCTAAAAAATACAATGTTGTGCCATTCTCAGCATTCCGCACTCAAGAAACTTTGAGCTATGGAAGTCATCAAGAAAAGTTTGTAAGGCTTAACTCATTTGGGATCTGCCCTTTTACAATAAAAAAAAATTTTTTTGACGTTCAGCCCCCTCCTAGAAAAGTTTGTGGAATAGCTTCAGCGCCTTAGGATTCTTTTACGCTAAAGGCTATTACCTTTACAAGAAGATGAGTAATTGAGCTTCTTTCGAATTTTATAGATCATAAGTTATGCTTGAATGTTCATTCATCTCATCGCTGGTGGATTACGAACTTATGATGTCATGAAATACGCCCTCGTTACTAAATTAGGTCCTGAAGCGCAAGTAAATCACATTTTTTAAGTCAGCTTTTCAGATGAGCTGAAGATTCAGCTCATTCGTGCATATCTGTGCCGCCCGGATAACTACAAATAGCAAATCTTTACCTTTCCTAACTCCCTATCTAATCTTGTTCAATACAGCCTTATGACGAGAGACTGACCAACATATGGGAAATTCATAAATTTTAGATGAACTGCTCAAAACATCAAAACTTACTGAAATAAGCTGCCGTCGAAATTGTCATCATAAGAACGACGAAGAGCGTTCGAATTGAAAGCCACATCTGGAAAAAAAACGAGAGCTGCATTTGAAAGGTGTATGACTAAGTAAGTTACATGATATCATAACAGCAAGTGACAGATTCTATTAGTGAATGCTTGGTGAGAAATGTACTTTTTATGATTATTATAAAAAAAGTATCGCACGTCCTTGTATTACGAAGCACTTCAGAATAATTTACTTACAAGTAATCAACATAGAAAAATTAGATTTGCAGCTAGGTAGCAAAGTCGCTTTTTTATGCCTTCATTTTTTAGTGAAAAAAATTTGCGGGTCCATTTCTATGTCAGGAAAATAGGAAAGCCGTTCTTTATCAGAACAGGTTTGAGAACTTGCCAAATATTGGAAGAGAGTTTTTTGTGCGAAAGAACTTATTATTTATGTCGTGGTTTTTTCACGACCGTATCCCTACCGTAACCTCAAAAAGATTGAGACGTGGGCTTCTCCAAAATTCTTAGAGTTTTTGGGTCATAAAAGATTAACAGTGCACAAAAATTCCTAACTTTTAACTTTATACTTATACTAATTTTTTCCTTCCTTACTGAGGAGTTCCGCGGAAGGTAGAAATCAAGGCAAACTCCGTTTAAGGGAAGGAACGAAACGGAGTGAGAAGTAACACATATAATTTTCTCTTTTATTAGATCTAAGAGGAAAATGTAGGTCATCAGACAGGCTATTGAAGCTTTACTTAGATGAACTCTTTTTCAAAATAACATGCTTATTTTTAATCTTTCAAAATTTAATAACTCAGCTACTATTGTTCGTTACATCCCAGGAGCTTCTGTTTTCTCAATATAGAAGCCTTTTTTGCCACACGATATGCTTAAGAAAAACAGGAAACAAGGAAGTCCATAGGATGTTGGCTTGAGCTGCCTTTGCAAACACATTAGCTGGATGTGTAAGATAAATCTTGTATATCTGTGTAAAAAATCTTTCGAGAAAGTTATGAAGGTCTTGAGATCCAATGGCTTTAATATTAGGTCGTTGACAAACAGACATAAGTTTTGAGACACTTTTCGTTTTCTTCTGAGAAATTCTAGAAACTTTGATAAAATCTAATATTTGGCACATTATGAGCGCGGACAAAGGTGTATCTATTGGCATCATTTCCACCTGTACAGGTTGCCAAAAATTGTTCAGAAAGACTTCCAAAAAATTCAAAAATTGGATTTTGTACAAGTTACAACCCTCCACTCAATTTAGAGATGAGAAAAAAACTTTCGAGAAAGTTAAAGGCTTTTTCCCTTCAAGTGTGACAAAACTTATGTTACAACCTAAAAGTTGAAGCTGCTATAAGCTATTCCAAGGTTGAAATACGTCTCCATTACTTTCCTTGATTTTTAAAAGTTGAAATATTGCACAAAACTGATTTTAGAGGCTATCTTATTTTTCCCGCCTATAATGGCGTAGTATTTCCTCAAAAAAAAAATTTTTTTCAAGCAGTCAAGAAACAAGGAAGTAAAATTTTTAGTCAAAGCAAATATATAGGATACTAATGTTATATCTCTCGAGTCAGCATTTTGTGTGCACTATATGAAAAGAGTCTTAGACAATGCCGTAAAGAAGCAAATAGGAGGTTTGTAATTCTAATATCAAGCAGTCTGAAAGCTTGTACTACAATGCTTATGAACTATGCACATTTTTGATTATGCATAATTAATTATGTTCTAGGAACTCCTTGGAACTGCCTCCTGATGTGTCATTTTCTATTGAAAAATTATGCTTCAAAAAATTGGTTATGATCGCTGATTTGACATTTATTAGACGCCAAGAAGATAAGATTGTTTGATTAAAAAAACATTACCTAAATGATATGATTAAGATATTTTTAATGACTTGCAGAAAACTTATGTATTAGAACTAGAGAGCCTAGGGTACTTTTGATTGAAAAGAGAGAGGGTGATTGTGTTACTATAAATTTATTCATTTTTTTTTTACTTTCTCTGCTTGGAACACTCAAACTCTCTCCAAAAACACTTAGCTGATCTACTTGAACTAAAATTTCATCAGAACTACAAGTGGAGCGCAGCTAGTTCTAAGGTAGACTCTCGTCAACAATTTCTTGCGTTTCTGAAGCAGCTGAGCAAAAACAAATAAAGTGAAAGGATTAGTAAAAATAAGAATTCATGCGGATACGTCCTTTTTTTAAATAGTTTATGGCCTTCCATAAGATTACAGTCAAACCTTTGACGCCCGATGAAGAATCGAATCAACAACAAGCAGGAAAGCTTTCTAATGAAGTGTCCAAAAATCCGGGATTCTAGCTTAAGTAATGAAATTTTTAAAATTTTTTCTTACTAAATCTCTTAAGTTGATAGTTTGAATAATAAAGCGACTTCATTTCAAAAATTAGAATAAAGCTAGATATAAGAAGCTGTTTAAATTGCACTTTATTAAGCGAGCCTACATCACTCATTTTTTTACGCCTATAAAAATATTTTTGAGAATAAAATAGTTGAGCAATTCTACTATATAGATCACGCAGTTACGTCGAAGTAATGGGCAGTTGACGTAAGGTTGAACCATCCGAGCAGCTTCATATGGAATGGGCGGAGCCAGTTCGAAGCTCCGCCCTTTCAGTCTTGTCCGAAGATGGAATAAGAGAACAATGGTAAAGTTTGATTAAATTATTGCGGTATAATTATAGAACAGGGAATGAAGTTGACAAAAATTTTCCCCTGTCTGGATTAGTCTAGTTTCTTAGTTCATTTCTATTTTATTTGAATCAAAACGGCCATAAATATTTCTTTATAACTATCAATGATATTATTAATATTGTTATTGTTATTTCATGTTTCCCATGTAGTCTGAATGCTAAATTATATGAAAACAAAAATCACAAGTTATGCCCTAAGAATTTTGCAGGCGCGCAGTTTCCCCTATGACTTTTCTCATTATTTTCTCTAGTAATTCAATTTCCACCTCTCAATCTGCATGCCTCTCCTTGCCAATTGAAAAAGAATCAACGCAGCAATGATATTGCGAGGAAATGCTACTCAAAGACCTAATGAGATTACTCGTAAGATGGATAGGTCGTGCAGAAACATGCTAATTGAAAACCCGTGAACCAAATGCAATGCAAGTTAATCCGAATTTGCATGAAGCTGAAGCCTTCGTCCATTACGGTTAGTTCATCGACTAATTTTGAGCTCTAAATATGTATTTTGAGCTACGAAAATCAACTACGAAATTTTTAAAGCGAGATAATAAAGATATCCAGTTTACTTTCTGCCCTACCCCCTCGAATGCTTGATCATTTTGACGGCTATCACCCAGGGCCCGGCGCGATCAATTTTTATTTTCCCCCTTGACTTTCAAATATTTTCTACAAAATCCCGTTTGATACATAGCGAAGCATACAGAAAATAATGATGTTTTGACAAAAATATGAAATATACGGATGAATTTTTATCTTGCCTATGATGTTGATCGAAATAAGAATGAAAGAGTAAGGAAATTTACGCAGAATGCATATGAGAGAAAATAAGAAAGAAGTAATCCATCTATCTATATAAGAAAATTCCTGACGCCAATTCAAAAAAACATTAGAAAGCGGGAAACAGCGATGCGGTCCCGAAGCGCTGGGATGCAACTAGCACCTTTAGTTACTGGTTCACTAGTAGAATAAAAAGAAAAAAGTTGTTACCGTAAATGAAAACTTCGAAGTAGCGGCATTTTCCAAAGATGTAAGTTGGAGCGCAATACCTACTGTAGTTTTTGCTTATTTCAAGCAGCAAAGGAGACCCTAAGAATTATTTTCTTATTTTAGGAAAGGTTTTTGACTGAGGAAGTAGCGCATGTTGGAAAAATCCCAAACTTATGCATAACTAGCTGGCTTACCCGGCTCCGCCGTATGTTCCGAATAGAAAATTCCATTTCTTAACCGCTCCGGACCAAACTTGGCACACATACACTTCGGGCCGCGGCGGTGTCACAGTCCATTTGCAAAGTTGGTCCCGATCGGTTCAAAATCGGAATTTTCTATTCGGAACATACGTACATACATACAGACATACATACATACAAACAGATATATGCCCCAAAGTAACTCGTCCTGGTAGCATCTTGAAGGATGATTAATTTGAAAGAAGGCATTACGACGTTACATACTTTCAAAAATTTCTTAAATGTAATTAGCACTCTATTACTGTCCAAATTTGCTGCCATATGCTTGCCTCTGCGCTTTGAACATTTTTTCAATTTACTCGCTTTTAAACTGTGAAGAGTTACGACAGTATGGGCAATATGCATGTATGGATTGCGTGCCTCACTTGTAACAATGGGCAAGTAAATAAAAACGGTAAAAAATTGAGAGATTAAGAAATCTGTCAGTTTAGTCAGAAAATTTTATCTCACTATAAATATTCCTTTCCTCATGTGAAGTGCTGGGAAGATTTCGGAGTCGCTTTCACATCTCCTGTGCTGAAATTGCGATTTTGATTATCCAGGATAATAGAGAAACCATTCTGTTATTTTGATCACCTCGTTTGTTTCGACTGGAAAAAAATGCGCATGAAGTTAACTTCAATAAGGCTCCGGCACAGTGGAACCAGGTCAAGCTGGATATCTTTACTGCGAAAAAAAGCAAAGGTATACTTTCCGCTGGATTCGCGGAGAACAGCAGCAAGCATGCCGCCGGCCGCCCTTGACATGCAAACGAAATGCTCAACCTCAGACAGTAAGCGTTATTTACAACCAAAACACAATGGCATTACACCAAGTTTGGTGTGCAAGTGCGCGAGAGGGGACTCAAACTATAGCCCAAAAATTGTATTGAAAGTTCGTATACCAGCAAAAAACCGTCTCAAAATCTTTCCTCTAAGCCTTATTACAGCCCCAATAAATTTTTTGGCCGCGATTTCCTCCGATTGCAAAGCGCGCCCCTAAGCAATTCAGTTTGGGGTTGGTTATGCTTCTTTCTACTTCATTTTTTCTTTTTTTTTCTTTCTTGTTATACATATCCGTTATATTCTCGGTGGAGGGAAGAGGGAGGTGAAGAAAATGGGAAAAGGAAGGGGAAAGAATTGAAAAGTGAGTAGGGGAGATATGGAAGGGAGGAGGCAAGCGCTGGACCGGTAGTAGATTTCAAACTCCAACCATGGAGCGAAGGGAGTCGACGCATGACACGGAAATTGAGATTTTTTTTCAAAATTTTATCAACGATTAGTGGAAAAAGGGGTTTTCATCCCTATAGCTTGTGTTTTGTGGTGAGCGACCGCAGTAAAAAAGGCAAATGAGAATTAGTGAGAGGGGATGAATGTCAAAAGGGACTTCGTAAGAATTTTTCGAAACCAAAGAGAACTCATTCCGAAATCTGGGTGGTTCCAGCTGGTGCCGAGCCCCGACTCCAATGGCTGCAAAAGTCATAATTGAGGAGAAGATTTTTTGCGAACCATGGATAACGGCAATTAGGGAATCACAATACTTACAGAATTCGCAGGAGTCGGGGACGAGTGGTGTATTGGTATGAGGCGCTAAGACCAGATCGGACCGAGGTTCAATCTCAGCTCCTGGGCCAACAAAGCCCTCTACCCTCCGGAGCCGGAAAATTGCTAGAGCATTCTGGGAGGAGAAATACACTGACTTGGTAATCGGCTGACCTCCGCAAGTCACTGTAAAAGGCCTGCACGCACTAACCTGCCTTTTCGACTACGAAGTAGAATGCGTCGGGGCATACCCGCAGATGGTAATAAAGACTCCGAATTCTTTACTCTTCATCCTTTTATCACAAGAGTTAAGATGATTACAGGCAGGAGTTGCAATAATCACAAGAAGAGTATGGAAAGACACTTGTGAACTTTTTCTCTTTTTAGGAACAAAAAGGAGTTTAGGACGACAATAGGTCTTCTTATTATTGCAGAACCGTGCATTATAACTAACAAGGGAATGGTCAAAAGTCGAAGTGGCCAAACCAAACAAGCTATATACCATGCGATGCAGTATGAAACGCTGACTTCGAATCTTCCCTATCTGCTTATCGCTTCTGTGGACGAAGCTACAAGCAGTTTTAATGCGGAAAAATCGTATATAAAAACTGTGAAATTGAGCAAATTGTTGCAATTTCAGCTCAGCTTTAGAGTTTGAGAATTTGAAGTAAGTTAGCTGCAAGTTTTGGCCCAACGTTAAGCCGAACGTGGCTCTGTACGGCCAAATACTTTCACGCATAATTTCTTAGCAAAATATTGGCCTTCAATGGCTTATAGCTTTGTCCAGAAAAGCGATAAGCAGAGAAAAAAGACAGATTTAGAGTCAGCGCTTCATGCTTCTAACGGTATGCAGCTTGTCTGGATCAACCACTTCGATATCTGACCATTCCCTTGTAAGCATGAATTTTTGTCTGATGATGTGTGATACTGTTTTTCTAATTGTTTTTAATAATAACCAGTCTGGTACTTCCTAAAGAGAATAAAACATGATGTTTTGCAGAGCAACAGAATTGCAAATTCTAAACGGAATGATAAAGCTGAGCGTAAAATCTGGTTGTTTTGGAAGGAATGCATACAGGAATACATTCTAAATCATAACAGAGAAGTTGAATGGCGTCGTCGGAAGTCCCTTCCCAACATTTAAGCTCTGAGAAATTTGCGAAGGATCATGGTGACACATTGCTCTAAGCAAAGTGCGCAGTAATTTGCATAGATTGAGCTCGCAGCTCCTAACAACAGGTAGCGGGAACATTTTTTGACCTGCATGAGCAATGAAAAAGCAAAATCAATCGTGTACGAGTTATAGAGCTTCATCGGGAAATGTCGTTATCCATATCATCATAGTGACCTGAACTGCTCAGCGAAAGGGCACTGTCTTGAAAGAAAGGCTCAAGCTGCACATGAATTCTCTGCTTGGCTATCGTCTTATACATAGACGATGTCAACACCTTATTACATTTCGATGGCATGCAATATTACTGCTTTTAGCAGTTAGATGGAATACCCTTTCCATCTCAGCTCAATGGCAAATTGATAAAACCGTAAAGGTCAAAAGCCAATCTCAAGACGAGTTGTTATAATCGTAATTAGCATATTCTTTCAGATCGCCTGTGCCTAGTTCCAACTCCTTAACTCGATGTTTGCAAAATCGACAACAACAAAGTTTTTGACAATTCTGAAACAAGATTCTGTTTGTAATTAGCATGCTTAATAGGTCAACTAGGTCAACTTCGCGCTCTGTACAAGTCTGTAAGAAATTGGCAAAATCGATATTCACCGATAACGAAAAGTAGCTTAAGGGTTGAGCCAGATTGCGCGGCGTACGGGCGTACGTGACGTACGTCGCGCATCTGGCCCAACCCTAAGACACCGGCCCCGAAGTATATGTGCGCAAAGTTTGGTCGCGATCCGTACTTTAGTGAAAATATCAATTTAGAGCATGCATACGTGCGTTATACATACATGCAAGATAGATTCAGCTTCATAAGGGCTTATCAAACGCAGTATCGCTTGCTTCAGCATCTTCATTCCCGCGCTGGACTCTACGTCTTTTCCGCGAACATGCCCTCTAATCACTTCTAAACGATTGAGGCTCCGCCTTTCCCACGCTTGCCCTGGGAAAGTGATCAGAGAGCATGTTCTCGGAAGAGATGCAGAGTCTAGTGCGGGAGAGGAATGCTGATGCAAGCGACACTGCATTTGATATGACCTATATAAGGTTAATAAGCAGAGACTGTCACAAAAGTGTGCCTTACATTCACGAGGTGGGCAAATGTCATGTCAGCCTGGAAATCGTTTTGGATGGAAAACAAAGGGAATTCGTAAATATGTGTTTACATGCACATACAATCTCTCGACAGAACTCTACACAACTGACATGCAAAAACATGATCTTGTTCGCGTTTTATCTTCAAAGATCCAATTCCTTCTACTTGAGTTATATAAATGTCTGGTTACAGCGCACATTAACGATGTCACTAAGAATTTGAAGTATAAACGGATATGGACTAGTGGGAGCGTAGTGCAGATTGTTCTGGAGGAATTATGTGAGTGACGGTTCTGGCAAGCTTCTTTCTGAAAATTTCCCATTACCACAATATGGTAAAATAGCTTATTTGCGACGCACAGATGAGAACGTGGCACGAAATTTGATGTGTGTATGCGCAGTAGTACTAAGTAACAACGTATGGAAAATTATGAAAACTTGTGTGATTAAAAGCATCCTTAACTTTTTCGCAAATCAGGTAGGTAATTGCCCACATAACTCTTTTCTACACCTAAAGATCAGTATATAGTAACATTTTGGTTCTAGAACTCCTCCTTTCCTCCCTGTGAGGACCCGCAATACCAACGACGTTAGTCCTTTCGAGGAAGAAAGCGCGCTCTAATCGAACAACCTACGCTGCTGGCGGGATCAAGTGGGTACTCGTAAAAGTCGATAGTGGCAAAAGCGAATTGTTACCAATGTTCATTTGCCACCCTCGTGCTAGGCCTTAACAACGCACGTATATGGGTATAAATGAGCGATTATTTTCAGGTATTTGTAGTAAATCATTGAGTTTGTGAAGAAAACCATGGCAAAATAGAGCTTTGCTGAGAAAAGAGATGCGCGAACCTTAAAGAGGCTTATAAAAGACGATTGAACCAATTAATTGCAGCGTAAAGTTTACTAGTGTGCAAATAAGGGCGTAATCTGGATACGAGTTTGACTGGGAAACTGCAAAAAAGCATAAATTACCTCATTATGAAATGGAGGCCAGAGACTTTATACAAATGTGGAAAGATTACGAAAATAAACCTTTACTTTGTAATAGTGTGGAAAGAGTATGAAAACAAACTTCGTCAATTTTCAAGAAATCGTGAAAACGCCGCTGATCGATTGAGAACTGAAAGCGGTATAAATGTCAAAAATGAGTAGAGAAATTTTGAAGGGTTGGGGAACGCCAGATGTTTTGAAGTGTTACAAAGCCTTTAACAGGAGTAATAAGAGTTGCAGAAATCAAGCGTACATTAGGACAACTGCGTGCCAGTGACGTACAAAGGAAAGGCCTCCCCCCCCCCCTTTGAGAGCGTGTGGAATAGGAGAATTGAAAGTTTTTGAAAGTTACTTACATGGGTTATCAAAATGTGCGAGTGACTTGTTGGTACTTGCTAACAAATAAAAAAATCGTCGACACTTTTTGAAATTTCAATTTACGCCACGCACCTTTTTCTTGTTGCCCTCATCCCCCCCCCCCCTCCCCCGAAAGCGGCAATCCTGGGTACGCCACTAATGTGTACCCGATAGGAGACTCCTTCAATGCTTATGCACACTTAAATCACTGACTGCGCACTTCGAAGATGTTGCATTGCTAAATGTGATGCATATGACTAGTCGTCAATCAGCTGTAACACACTTACAAAAGTTTTCTGCTGATGATAAGAGCAGATTGCAGCTGATGTAGGTGTTTTGGTTCTAGTACGAATCTAGTCATCCACAATGCAGCGATTATCTGATGACTCATGTTAGTGAGTACTGAGTTTTTATTTTGCTTTTCGCAGTACACTAATTTTATTGGAAAGAATAAGTATTCTTCTTTGTCAATGTAAACTGAGGCGCTTTCACTACGCATTCACTGCAGAGATAAAAATGGTAAAAGAAGATGATTTAAGCTTTGCTCATTTTGAGTAGGGTCGCCAAAAATCTGGAACGTTGTGAGAGAATCTGATTCAGTCAGTACTTCAGTTCTATAATCTACTTTTTGCAATCTATGAAAACATTTTGCTGCTTGAACGTCTTTGTGAAAAGTTATGATTACCAAGAAAAGTGAAAAAATAGTCAGTTTTTGAATCTTCCGTTTGAACTCGAAAACGATAGCTTGTCGCAGAAACGTCTAGAGATCATAACCTTTTTTCGGTTGCAGGGAGTAGGGATAAAGCCTATGCTTTGATGTCTTCAGATTTTTCTGCAGCCTTCCAGATTTTTGGCGTCCTAACTCAGATGATAAAAGCCTGAATGATCTGCTTTTTTCATTTTTATCTCTGCAATAAGCGGATGATAAACTCATAAAAAAGCAACAACTACAAAAAAAAGTTTTCTTCTTTTGATAGATTTACGAAAAAGCAAATCTGTCAAGATGGGGACAAGTCACGACTCAAAAATGAAACGACTGAATTTTTGGGACAACAATATCAGCTCGCTGCGTTAGTTCTGCCCGACTGCACTTTTTAAGTTCAGCACAATATAACTTCTTATAACTTTTTGAAGCTCTTCTCTTGTACAGATTGGTTTGCTCTATCGAAACGTATCCCGATCATTATGAGGAAATGGCTTTTGGTAGTAAGGAATCAAATATGAAAAGGCTTGTGAACCCTAATAAACAGTGGCGGACCGAGGCGGGGAGGGCTTCAAGGGCACAAGCCTTTTCATATTTGATTCCTTACTACCAAAAGCCATTTCAATGTGCAAGTGACTTGTTTATTGTTGTAAACAATTAAAATAATTTCTAAAATTTTTAGAATTCAAATTAGTCTTATAAAGATTTTTTTCGAAGGCGTGGCGTCAGCCACGCCCCTCTTCTCCAGATTTTAGGTGTTGAGGACCAGCAAAAATTAGCCTGTCGGGACGCGGCTGTTGGGTAATAGCTGCGTCCCGACAGGCTAATGCCACGCACCTTCATTGGAAAATATTTTTGCCGCTCCCCCCCCCCCCCCCGGACGGAAATCCTGGGACCGCCACTGCTAATAAAGTATACTTAAAACACACGTTAATATTAAGATGTCTATCATTTCGCAAACGTAATTGAATAACAGTGAGCCACTGGCTGTTAATGCGTTTGCGTCATCTTGACTTTTGCTACATACTGATCCATGAAACAAAATGTCCACCTGAACTGCACTAATGATTGAGCCCATTATTTGCACTTTCAGCATCATCTTCATTTCTCATTGAAGAGGTCATAGTCACTGGCATGTTTAGCTGGCCAGTAGATTATACCTTTTAAGGAGTAAAAGAAGGAGAAAAAATTCTAAGAATTCCATTGCCTGGGTTGTTGGATAGCCAATCTTGCACTGGTCGCAAAGATGTTAAATTCATTCATTGTTGCAGTTACAAATTAATTTTTCTAGAGATTACGGCTGACTCTTTCACAAGAAAATAGCATGGTAAGATTTCATAATCATATCGTGAGCTCTACAAACAGATTCAAAATTATTCCACATTTCCAGTATACAGACAGCAATAACTGACACCTCCTAAGGACTTTATTCAATGAAATTTAATCACGTTGTCAGTTTATTTTTGAAAGTGTCAGATGGGGGTGTTGGCAAATCCGGCTTCGCCCGGCCCTGTCGTTATATATTCTTAATATACTCACTTACCTCAATCCCCGTGCCAAATTCCAGCCCCGTAGCTCAAACTCTGCAAAAATCAATAAAGTCGATAGAGTTAGGGATAATTTCGAAGGCTGATGTTGTATTCGTAATCAGCATGCTTATTTACCACCCTCTGCCAACTCCCAGCTCTGCAGGCCAAATAGAAAAATCGAGAAATTACGAAAAATCGATAAAAATCGATAAAATTGATATCGACCAATGACGAAAAGTAGCCTACGACACCCGCCCCACCCAAAATGTATTAGGTTGTAAAGAAAGTTCTGCCAAAAGACGCTGAGGTAAATTGTTTTACTTATATCTTCATAATGATTGGCTCTCAATTAGCGATACTTTGGTCATGTATACTAACAACCTTAGATTACTGATTAGGTATTTCATAGATGCTCTTTTTCAAAAAGCGCGCTGGCTGCGTTTTGAATAATGAGTTATTTCTTGCTTGCAAAAAGACCCAAATACCGCGGGAAGTAATAGTCCGATCTTGCTTCACCTAGCCAATACACAGGGTATGAATCAGATTTTCAAATCAAGCTTCTGGAGATTCTGCGCGTCCATAATCTGAAAAATGTGTTTTCTCGTCGACCTAAGCGCAACGGATTTTTCTACTTTTTTGGGCTTTTTTTCCTATTTGACCATCATTTTTTCGAGCTGAATAGCGTGTTAGGTAGCTGGGGCCATCGCACACTAAGAACACATTTCAAACCAGCTCCTTGCATTCGCATTCATTTTTGGTGTTTACGAGAAGGATTGGCAGAACTTTCTTTACAGCCTAATATGTGTGCAAGTTTGGTCCGAGTCGATCCAGACGTGGAATTTTCTATTTGAAACATACGTACACCTATGCACAGACAAACGGACATTCAGCTTCACAGCTATGAGACCAGCAGATTAAAATGAACTTCATTACTCATCTTTCATGACTATGGAAAATGTGCACAGACACACAGATTTTGTGCTTTATATACAGTGATCGCCAAAAAGTTGCGGACAACTTGCCATCCTTTTTTCAGCGTTCATTTTCGGATGGAAAACCAGGATGAAAAAATGATTGGATTGCATGAGGTGAGCTCTTCATGAGCTACACCCTACACATTGCGCTTTCTGGAAAACATGTATTCTAAAATTCTGAAAATCTTTCTCTAGAAAAAGTCCGAAAATGGCCGCGTCACAGTCTCGCGGACAATAATTCTTCTAACGCGAAGTCTTTTTTTTGGAACAAAACAGCAGTTTTCCGAACAGGTAAGCATACTATATCATAGAGCTAACTGAGGACAACAATCATGTAGTGGTTACTTCCAAAAAACACAAGCTTGAATTGTGTTTTGCTTTTTTTAAAATAAGTCCAGGAAGTCACGCCCTTTCGAATGAGCTTAAGGACAAACTCGTAGATTGCTTAACGGCTGAGCTACAAGCCTGCAAAGCGGTACAAGTCAATGGTGAGGCGCAGAGAGGGTCATGTGCATGCATTGCCAGGAATCATTTTCAGCCAAGAAACCCACCGTACACGTCCGATGCATGGATAATGGTAAAGAGCATCTACTTTATCCGAACAGCTTTGTTGGGATGCCTTGAATAGGTTTCCATGTGAAGAAATTGCTTTGAAAGAGAAAAATAGAACTTATTCTAAAAAAAGCAAAACAAAATTCAAGCTTGTGTTTTTTTGGAAATAACCACTGTTTGTTGTCCTCAATGAGCTCTGTGATAAAGTATGCTTGCTTGTTCGGAAAACTGCTGTTTTGCTCCAAAAAAACTTCGCGTTCGAAGAATTATTGCCTGCGAGACTGTGACGCGGCCATTTTCGGACTTTTTCTAGAGAAAGATTCTTAGAATTTTAGAATACATGTTTTCCAGAAAGCGCAATGTGTAGGTTGTAGCTCATGAAGAGTTCTATCATCTCATGCAATCCAATCATTTTTCATCCTTGTTTTCCATCCGAAAATGAACGCTGAAAAAAGGAGGGCAACTTGTCCGCAATTTGGCGGTCACTGTATATAGAGATAATGAAATCCTGCTATGTTGCATTTGTACATAAGAAGGATTGATCAAGAAGAGTAGTATCCTGAGCCGTTGCTCACGAGAAATTAAATAAGCTCGTTGAAATTACGATGTTCAAGTGCTTATGCTTATCTCACCAGTGGGGATCCCAAATCACAGTGGCGATCTGGATCGAAGTGCATATCATTAGACGCACCTTGTTCTGCTGATTCCTCTGAATTCAGATCTGCTGAACAGTCTGCAAAAGAAGTTATGAACGGTGAAACTTAAATATGGAAAACATTTAGTACCACACCATCGATGATTGGTTTTTGAAAAAAACTTGCTCATGTTTCCTGGAAGTGTGTGCATTCCTTTTTAGGCGGTACACTCCACATCATCTCAAATATGCTCTCTCAAGCTGAACTTCATCACATTATGCCCCTGCCCATTGTGCCTTGTATCATTGTATCTTGTGTGATATATCCTAAGAGCGGCTGCGCCAATCAAGTACGGCATGGCAATTCGTTGCGAATCCGTCTCGGTAAACGCTTCTTTACCTTATTTCCTTTTGTATCATTTTTGCCTACATAGTACTAAGCTTAAGCCTGTCTTATTCTATTTGCAAATTTGGCCAAGTTGAGCATTGTCGATAATGTATTCGTGCTCAAAAAAGCATCTTCCTTGCGTTTTCTATGCCTGCATCGATAGGTCGTGCTGAATGATCTCTCTCATACTGCGCTCTTTACAGATCTCATAGTTTGAGATACATAATCCTGATATCCCCCTTTCGTCTAATTGTTTGGTGAGAGATGTAAAAAGATTCATCCACCCCAAATTAAGGTGAGATCTTGCAATTAATCCCTCCTCCCTTTTGCAACCGCATGGCACTTCAGCTAGCAATTCTTCAAGCTTATCAATCTACCTATTTATACATATTCCACGTTCCATCACAATGCAAAAGCTGTGATGATGTTAAATGAGGCTTTGAGCCGAGGACACGTTCTTCTAAATGGTTTTTCTAATGGGTCTATCACTTTTTCCTACCAGCACCAGAGATCGCGGGTTTGGTTTGGCATCGCTGTATCCTTCTTCAAATGCTTGCAAGGATAATCCGGTGGACCATTCAAGGTGACCTACAAGGGATACTCCTCTTCTATCCTTGATCGTTGAAGTAGGTCAGAGTTAAAAGTTAGTCGACCGTCCGCGGAAAGGTTGAAGAGAGAAGTTTTCTACAAGTCAATTTGATGGATGTAAATGAATCAGCAATTCCATTATTGGTTCGCAAAATAAGTGAGAGAGTAAAATATCGCAGTTCAGGCCAAGATAAGAGATTAGAAGATAGATTCAAACCGCCAGACACTTGACACAAAATAATGAATGCGCAAAGGAAAGGCTGCGTTCATACTGATTACGAAATCCGGGAACAGTTCCAGCACAGTGCTCGAACTGAGCGTTGTGCTGGGACTGTTCCCGGATTTCGTAATCAGTATGAACGCAGCCAAAGAATTCTTATGATTTCAAGATAAGCTATCAAATATTTGAATGGTTGGACAAATGTGAGAGGATGAATGATCTCATAAATTACTGGATGGTAAACGAAAATAAATGCATACTATTATGTGGTAAAGAAAGTTCTGCCAATTCTTCTCATGATTATGAAAACTGAATGCGGATGCAAGGGGGCTGGTTTAGGCTGTGTCCTTAGTGCTCGATGACGCAAAATACCAAAATATGCTATTTGGCTTGAAAAAATAACGATAGACTAGGAAGAAATACAACAAAGAGGGAGAGTGATTTGTTGCGCTCAGGTCTGCGGAAAGACACAGATAAAGCGACTATTACTCGCTAAGTAATAGTCGAATGTCGCTAAGTAATAGTACCTGGGTCTCTTTGCAAGCAAAAAATAGCTCACTGATTTCAGCGCTTAGAAAATCAAACTCCTCACGTGTTTCGAAAGCAGCTAAACCCCTTTTGGAGGAAAGCATCGTGATATACCTGGGTGAAGAAACGAACACCTCAATTAGGCCTCGCCTCCGCGGGCTGCTGATCCTTTCGTCGTACTGTTGAGCATCGTGTTAGGACCAGTGGGCCGCGGAGGCGGTGCCTAATTGAGGTGTTCGTTCCTCCACCCTGATATACCTAATAAGTAGTTCAAGATTGTCAGTACACCTGACCAAATATTGACTGATTGATTGACAGCCACTTGTGATGCAGATAAAGTTAACACGATTTAGCTCAACCTCTATGGCAGAACTTCCCCTACAACCTAATGTAAAGCAAATTTGAGAATGAATAGATGATGAAATGGTTCGCAACAAATAAGCTTATTTAAGAATAAGGCGATGATCTCTTGCAAAGTTGCGAATAACAAATATTGCTTGGCTCTAATCTACTATAATAATCAGCAAAACTAAGCTTTCAGACCAGGTGTGGGAGGTAAAACTGGGATCAACTAAACATTAAGTTACGGCTCTTTGAATAATGACACTTTCTTTCACTTTCATGACACATCTCTTTGCCGATTAATTAGACATGTGGGCGGGTGTGGTTCTGGGGTTTTCACCCGTTCTCAGTATTAACACATTCACGACAATACGAGCCACGGGTGTGCCGTACGTGTTCTGCCGTTTTGAGTAATACGACCCACCGATGGGTAGCAAGTCTGACAAAGCGAAAAAAGCTCTGGTCCGAAACGGCAGTAATCGAAAAATCGGCCTCGTCTGAATGTGCTAAGCTACTCCCTCAGTGGTGACTGATATGAAAGGAAGTTCTTGCGGTAAACTGTGTAATTACTGTCCAGTAATCAGATAGCAGTAAAGTAGTTGCTCATGTGTTTAGCGAAGGTTACGGTAGTTTTACCATGACTTAGTATGTTATCCTGAGTAGCGTAATCTGTATGAGCATATGTCAATCCTATCTAAGGCGGGGTCTTTCAGAGCTGCTACTCTAGATGATTGTGCAAATAAATCAAAGGCAATCTGCTAGTTTATTTGATCACGAAAGAGGGGAGCTTATCGTTGCCGATATAAGGCTGTACAACAAGACTACTCATTACTGCTTCCACGGATGCCGATGTGCAGCCGTCTACCGAAGGCTCTGAGGCCTCAGTTCCTCATCATTCTTTATTTTTTCTTCATTGCAATTCCAAGTGTTTATGCGCAGACAACTTTCTCTCCCCAAAACATCACCAAACGGCCCAATGTTGTAAGTCACCTTTTTTGGTATGGATCTCTTCACTCCACTGTTGAGCTCATTTTGTAGGTACTAATCGGCCATATCGGAGCTATTGGCGCTTTACCGAACTACGAAAAAGTATTGGAACTTTCACGAAAGGAGCTACTCGGAAATGGAATTCTTGGAAAAGATTTTGACATTGAGTAAGTGTCGTGCAATTTTACCTACAAGAAGACCAATGAGAATAATAATTCCAAGTTTCCCATCGCTGTCTTTTGCAAATTTTGCCAGTTTTTGCAAGTCCAGCATATTTTGCCATCTCTTTCCAGAGAATTTCCGCTGTTTATTAGGTTACCTAAACTGTCAAAAGCTCTCTAATCTGCCAAATCTTACTCTAAGCCTAACTCTAGAGTCTCTCCAAAGCTCCGCTCGCTTTTGAACTTTTTATTTCATCGTACGTACGCCTTGAGAAAATTCGTATTAGTGTTGTGATGCTTTCAAACTTAAGAATTAAACTCTCTTCAAAACAAGCCAAACCTCATAGGCATACGGTAACTTCTCCTCGGCTAACCCTCAAATTTCAGTCATGGGTATCTGGGCTTCAATAGTGAGGACCGATTAGGATGCCCCAACTAAGATTTTGCTCAGTCCGCAGCCCATATGTTTCATTCATAGCTCAAAATTACAAATCAAACCTTGCTCAGTACCGTAATCGCGAATCCTGGTTGCTCTAGGAAAAGATATGGTACTGGGCATTAGTTCCGAGTTCTTCGCGGACATGAATGAATTGAATCGCATGGGTTTTTGCCTGAGTAACACTGAGACGTATCAATTTCTTCATAAGAAACTAGCTAGAAAAAAGCTCTAACCTTTTAATTTTGCATTCTTTTATGGCAGCGTCGTTTTACTTTTTTTCTTTAACTAGCAAATATACGGTATCTTAAGAGCAACTCAAAAGTGGTCCACTAGAAAGGCTAAAGTTTTTGACTTTGCCTTGAGATTTGCTAAATTGCATGCAAAACGAAAAGCCTTCGCTATACTTCGTGCGCGACTTCGGTCCTGGATGGAAATACTGTGACAACATTACGTCATGCAAAATGGCCTACACTCTTCAACAGCGTTTTTGTTGCGCTGCTTCGTGTACGAAGCAAACTAGAGGCAAAACTACTTATGTACCCCGTCCCATCCCCGCTTCTTCTACTTTAGCGTTTTGCTCCCCATATTTACCTGATTGCAGAGTGGGATAATCAGTGGATCACGCAGAGCACGTGCTCAACGGGATTTATCTAATCACTGCAAATTACAGGATCATCTCCCGGAACGGCTGCGGAGACGCTTTCGAAGGAGTGGCTGCGGCCGCTGATCTCTATCACATCGAGCATATAAACACATTCTTGGGACCATACTGTAACTCGGGTACGTAACCGAGTTTTGCATAGGGGGGGGGGGGAGGGGGGATTGTGCTGTAGTTGGAAAAAAACCTTAACGACAAACACCCTTCTGCTTTTGCAAAGAATGCAGTAGGAGATTTCTAATGAGTACTGTAAAAGTTTGCAAGAGTTTGACAAATGCTGCTGCCCTGCGGAAATTTAGACTATTCCTGCAAAGTTTGGCGGAAGTTCAGCAAAAAGTTTGAAAACTAGGGAAATTCCGCAGTAGCTATGACCAAATGTCTTTGAAGTCTGAGTCCTCAATAAACGTTGGACGAGAAACTGAAGTTCCGACTACTCCTATTTTGTTGAGAAAAGTTTGGCGGAAGTTCCGCAGAAGTTTAGAAATGTGGGAAATTACGCGGTAGTTGCGAGCATTTCCATAGCATGTGTACAATTTATCAGAACTGTGTTTACAATTTGTCAGAAAGTAAAAAAAATATTTCAAATTCATTTCGAGTTGATAAATTTTTTAGAAATGATTCCCGTAGCGATGATGGCAAACTTTTGGAATATTCCTATCATAGCGTACATGGCTACATCTAATACCCTGTCAAACAAAAAGGTAAATAGATTTTTTTTACTTTAGAGCGGAAGAACTTTGTATAAAAAAACTAAACTTTTTCCAGATTTACAAAACACTAATTCGCACTTCGCTAAGGACCATGAACACCGTTGCTGAATCAACTGCTGCCTTCATAAAGCATTATAAATGGAAGAAGGTGAGCAAATTCGGACATCAGGCACTTTCCACAAAAAAAAATTTATCTTTAGATAGCGCTGATATCGAACACAGGTGTAGCCGCTTACGAAAAGATCAGCGCAATCGAACCCGTACTAAAAAGACACGGGATTACGGTAACCAAGAAAATTCTGTTCGAGGAAACTGTCACAGTTCAGGACATGGTAAACGGTGGACAACTGGAGGAAATTCGTTCAAATTGTAGAAGTGAGCGGTTTTCTTATTCAAGGGTGGAAGATAGGAGCATAGGAATAGGATTTGAGCTGCGATGAAGTGAAAGCGGAGTAGCACTTGGGGGGCTTTATACCGATGGCGGCCTTTTTACGCCGCTACAGTATATAACCGTAGCCTAAGTTGGTTAGTAGTTAATAATATACATCGCGATGTACTTTGTCTCGTATTCCACTGATTACGGTAGCATACCGTATCATGCGCGCCTGAATATACGTCATACATCCATATCGCATTATTTTTAGTTGCAATTGTAATGTTTACATCGGCTCGGGACCTCACTAATATATTTCGCGACGCTCTGACATTATACGGAATGTCCGAAACCGAGTTCGTCTTCATCTTCCCCTACATGCAAGAAGGAACCAACGGAGCTTCGCCATTTGTTGGGAGCGATAACGCCGCCTTGGACAAAGTCAAGAAAACCTATGCGAATTGTGTTTTGGTGAGTAAAAAAAATTAGGTGAAAAAGAGAAAAGTATTTTTCTCATGCTAAAATGGTTCATGTAAAAAAGGTTTGAACAATTATGAAAAAAAAATCTAGATTGACGATACCAACGGCTTCGATGAGCGCATGATCACCCCATTCCTCGAGAGACTTGCTACCATTGGACTTGATGAGAAGGACATTGACATAGTAAGTCCAAATTTAGAACCCGTTCATCATTAAGGGCAACCCCTCTTTATTTTAAATTTTAGGGCAACATCTACGGATACATTGCTCTCTTCGACTCAATAAAAACGTTTGCAACGGCTGGAAGAAAAGTACTAAATAGCACCGGAAATTTTGCGTCAGTTTTAGATGGAAAGTTGATGTGGAGCGCTATGAGAAGAATGATCGTCCCAGGTACGAAATTGGTAAATTCTGGACGAGTTCATACCAGAATATTCTCAGGAATGGTTGCCAACTCTGGCGTTGGAAGTGGGACAGTAATGTTGGACGATCTGGCTGAACGTGTACCTTACTATTCGGCCTTCTTTGTGGACAGAAATAGAAACCAGGTATGTTTTCTGAAAAATTGCAAAAGATGACTGATTTTATTCGCTGAAAGAGAAAGGGAACTCAAAAAATAGACAAATTAATGTACTAATAATTTATAATAAATAACAAAGTAGTAAATAAATGAGAATGAAAATAACAAAAAAAGCTGAATTTGCCTGTGGGAGGAAATAACGCATAACATTTCAATTTTGTCCGCCGGATTTCACTTCTCGCCTCTACTCATAGGCGCTGGGCTGCGCCGCTGCAGTAGACGCAACGCGTGCGTTAACTGCTTACGTAACTACGCGCCATTACCGTAGTCGAATCATACTGAGTAGCAATAAAGATCATTATAATTGTGTTAAAACTTCCATGGCGTGATGTATTCCACAAATTCCTCAGATAACCCCCTTTGCGAACATGGTCCCGTCGCTTATCGCTAATTGTGATGGATTAAAAACTGGCACTGGATGCTTCTCACTTGTAAGTTTGCATATCGTGTTTATACAATCATGTAGCAATACAAATTCTAGCAAGGAAATGCAATAAAACTTAATTTTTCAGAACGTCACCGAGGTGCAAACATCTTTTTGGCCGTCTCCAGATGGAAATATGCCAATTGATGAGCCAGTTTGTGGCTATAGGTAAATAAATCTTTGCAAATGCTAAAATTTTTGAAGTTGATAAAAAACCTTTTCAGAGGGGAAAAATGCGATTACACGCTGATTATCGTCGGTGTTTCGGCTGCCATTTCATTTATCATCATGGCTGTTGGAGCATATCTACTCAGACGATATTGGTAAGTGTGTCTTTCGCAAAAATAAAAGGTGACTAAAAACCAAAAAATCTTATTCTGGAAAAAGTGCTGCAGTTTGAAATTCGTTTACTACTTCAGCGAATCTCGCGCCCTCGACAGTATGCCTTGGAGAATCTTTCGAGACGATATGCAGATTGTGGATGAAGAGACAGTCAAGTCTATGGTTGGTAGTGGACAAAACAAAAAAAATTATCTGCACAGATTTAAATAAAGAGTATATAATTCAGCTCTCACTGGGTTCGCAAAGGACCAAACTATCCAATACGAATGCAATGGCCCTGAAGAACCATGCTGTCATAGGAGTGAACACTCATGCCACTTACCATATGTACGAGCAGAGAAGACCGATCAAGTTCGGACGAGCTGATCTTACTTTGCTTATGCGGGTAAGTTTACAGTGCTCAAAAAAATCTAAGATCTCTTATGTGCAAACTGGTTGGAAGACCTCAACCATTTTATCGCGCAAAAGGCAGCTTATATGATTTATTCTTAGCCAAGAAATTCGAGTCTGACCTTTCGCCCAGACCGTACTTGACGGCGCAAGTCCCTCGGAAAGAGGGTCTGGGTACAAGGTTAGAGTGAGTTTTTTTGATCACTAACGATTCATCCAAGCTGCTACTCGGGCAATGGCTAACTTAGGACTTCGCAATTCGTTCCCAACTAGAAAAAAAATTACCTGCCTCAATGCCTGTTGCCTTTGGGTTGCGATTACAATCACAATTCATACAATTCATTACGAAAAGAAAAAGATCTGAAAATACGGTAGCTTCGAAAAGTTTAATGATTAAAAAACCTTGGAACCTTTTTTTCTTCTAGGAGGCAAAAATATGTTACTCATCAAAATCTTATCGCTAACGTTATCTCTACCTAATTATTCAATTTTAGATGAAACAAGTTGTCCATGACAATCTCAATCCTTTCCTTGGAATGGCTTTCAACGAAAAAGGTGAAGTTCTATTGCTGTGGAAGTTCTGCTCAAGAGGAACATTGCAGGTAACCCTGGGTCAACAAGAAAATTTTTTTTGGAAATTTGCTGACTTCCAACAAACTAAGAATGCATTTTAGGACCTTATCTACAATGACCAATTCGTCCTGGACGAAAAGTTCCATGGAGCATTTGTGAGAGATATCACATTGGTAAACACACCCATCGATCTAACTTTTCTATCTAATTCCTAACCTTAATTTCAGGGCCTGGAATATCTCCATTTGTCAAGTATCGGTTACCATGGCGCCCTGACAACGTGGTCCACTCTTATAGATCGTAATTGGTTGGTGAAATTGACGGATTACGGTAGGCGGATGAATTCACTCTGCAAAAGTGGTCTTCATTGATTTTACCATTCCAGGCATCAGTGATGCAGTTAATAGATGGGTGAAACATGGCAGTATTAACGATGAAGTTACCAAGGAAGGAGAAGAAACAACTGATGCTGTACAAAAAACTGGTGCGCTTTCTGACATCATAGCTTGGGCGGGAGGGGGGGGGGGGTGAAATCAAAGAAACTGGCTACTTTATTCCCATGACACCAATTTGAGTATGGTTTTTGAATACTGATTGTAAAAGCGAACGCAGGTAAGATATTAGTCGCGTTTGCTGCGGCGGTGCGGTCGCGAGCGACCCCTACGCCGAGGGAAAACGCGGACGCGAGATACGCAGACAGCCAAAGGCGCGCGGCCGGTGACCGCAATTCTCACACTATTCGTGCCGTTCTCACAGTAATAATGAATGGAAAGATAAATTTACATTAATTTATTACTCAAAAAATTTAGGCATTCTCTATGTGGCTCCTGAAATGCGAATGTCAAATGAAAACAATAACAAACGACGAGTTGATCAGGCCTGGGTTGGACAGGTTCGTCATTCTACACTTCATTAAAAACAGTGCAATACGCACAATCACACACATTTTGCGCTGTGCGATTGTGTGCATTGCACTGTTTACTAAATAATTGTGTGTGCTGAGTTGCGCCAGTCGTTTTTTAGCAGTTTTTGTTAAAATCGAATTTTTCAGTCACTTGAGAAACGACGTGCGGCCGATATCTATGCCTTTGGAATGGTCATGTATGAGATACTCTTCAGATCTTTTCCGTTTAGCGATAAGGTTGATCTCAATGGTAAGTTGAAGTTCTACATTGAAAAATTAATTTTTCCCTAAAATCAACTTCTGCTTGCAGAAATGGTTACAAAAGCAGCAGAAGGCGAGAAAATTTCTCGACCATCTGTTCAGAAAGACAAACAAATACATCCCGACCTCCAAGCTCTTCTGCAGGTACATCCATATCAACATAAAATTCATTTCTTGAAATTTGGTTCACTAAAACTTAATGCCATATTTAGGATTGCTGGCATGACTCACCGGATGGGCGTCCATCTGTACGCCGAGTGCGTCTATCTACAGAATCAATCATGAAGACGTAAGCAATAACAGACTGCCTTAAATATCATAACTGAGCAAGAAAAAGTGGTAGGACCTAAGCTGTCTGCGACACCCAATTTTTCGATGAGGGAGGCGACAGAGATCTTTTTCAGTTAAAAAGAGTGACGTTAGCCACGCTTTTGGTGAAAATTTTGGGATATTTTTCAGTTTTCATAGTTTTTTTTTATGAGCGCATAACCTTGATTTGAAAAAATGCGGCGTATCAACAGCAACCAATTTCACAGTAAAAATTACCACTCTGACTTAGTTTTCTAGAATAATTAAAGTCATTGTTTGTAAATGAACAAGTCTTTGGCATAATCCTATTAATGAGCCTATTCCGAAAAAAAATTGCGCAACTGATTTTTCGGGCAAGGGGGTGGGAGAGTGGTAAGTGAAGATTTCTTCCTGCACATAAGCACAACGTGGCGCTTCTTTCCTTTTTTCTATTTCATCAAAATTTCAGCAAAGGAAGTCTTGTTGACTCTATGACTCGAATGATGGAAGAATACGCAAACAATTTGGAGAAACTTGTGGGTGAGCGAACGGGAATGTTAGAACAAGCAACGGTCAGAGCTGATAAGCTGCTTGGCCAGCTTTTACCTAGGTGAGTTTTGTGGCCTAAAAACTTATTCTTAACTTTATTGGGCATTCTAGATTTGTCGCCAACGAACTTAAAAATGGACGACCAGTTCCTCCAAAAATGTACTCGACAGCAACCGTGCTATTTACGGATGTTGTAGGATTTACTAGGCTTTGTGGCTCATCCACACCGATTGAGGTAGATTACCCAAGACTTCTATCCACTCTATAAATGCCATCGTTTGACGTAAATTCAGGTTGTCAATCTTCTTAATAGCGTCTATTCTGGATTTGACGATATCATAAACAAGCATGACGGCTATAAGGTGAGTAACGAGAATTGCAATTGCTTACGGAGTAAAGAATAAGCTGCCTTGCAAGCGATTCTAAAAAAATGATAAACAACTGTGTGACGAATAAGAGCTAAAAATGATTATCTTGAGGTGGAAACCATCGGTGACGCATATATGGTCGTTTCTGGTATACCCGAAGAAAATGGTAAACGTCATATCTCCAACATTGCTACCATCTCACTCGATATCTTGGATGTAACGAATTCACATTAGAAACGATATCTCCCAAAATAATCTTCCGTATTTGCAGTTCCTTACCACCTACCGTATCCCTCATCGCAAATCTGAACGTCTGATCATTCGTGTTGGCTTTCATAGCGGTCCTGTGGCTGCTGCAGTAGTTGGCTTAAATGCACCACGATACTGTCTATTCGGTGATACGGTAAGCCTCACTGATGTAGCAATCGATTATCGATCGAAGGCAAGGATGCAGTTAAGCAATTGCAGGTAAACATGGCGTCCCGGATGGAATCTACGGGCGAGCCAGAAAAAATACAAATATCACAACAGTCCAAAGATCTTCTTGCTAATGAGTATCCGGAATTTATAACAACAAAACGAGGAGATTTTGAGATCAAGGTAAAAAAGCACTACTTATCGTCATTACATAGTAATAATGTTTATCTTAGGGCAAAGGAATGTGCGCTACATATTGGTTGCTGCGAAAGGATACGTCAGTTCTTGCTGGATAACCCAAAGTTACCTGTATTTTTGTCGTATATACGAAAGACCGGTTTTTTGAGAGTTTTATTTATTCATTGATATTCACATGTATATACTTTGCGCAGTTCCATCTGTGCACATAGATTATGAAGTAAGCAGTCGAGTGTAATCGTTTAAGTCACCTGTAACTTCTAATTAAGGATTAGTCGGCTACTGGAAAGTGAACTAGTAACAACCCGTTGTTTACATGTTTCAAGTCGTTGATAAAGAAAATTTATTTGTGTACAACAAGAATACGCCAAAAAAGGAAAAAATCAAGCAAATTCAAAAAAGGAAAAGCTCTTCGTCTATAATAAAATCATGATAAAATACACACCACTTGACGTTGGGGCACATTGTCACATTGTCCCTTGCTGGATAGTTCAGATCGATTTCCATCTTCGAGAAGTGAGTAAAGCTCTACCGAGATCTTTTTCCTTTACTCGAACGCAAGGGAAGTGAACATCTATCATGGTTTGGTTGACAATTCAACCTGAGGCGGACAAATCCGTCAGGAACCCTGGGCGAGCGAGAAGGGTGGACCTCCAGGCAGAGTGCTCACTAGCCTTCGATCTCCTCAAAACAGCAATTCCAGACAAAGAGGAAGTTATGCATCTATTCCAGTTCCAAGTATAAACTTACCAGAAAAGCCCTTTCTCTAGATAAAAGAGATATATTAGCAAATGCGGCATTATTTGCTGTTGATAAATCAGATATGAGTGTTTTTAGGGGAAAGTTTGGAACACACGGACCAAATGGAACCATCCAGAACGATCTTCCCTGCATTTGCATTGGCGACCGACTTTTTTGATTACATGATTTCGAGGCAGTGCTCGTATGCGTACCTCCAACTGTTCATCATTTGACGCTTCGTATATTTTGTGATAGAAGCGGGAGCTATATGTCTACCGCGAAATCCGAGCGCCGAAGTTTCAAAATAGTAGATTTCTGTCTTAGTGCAAGGGGGTTATCTCTGTTATGGTGATCACGAACACCACACTTTTCTCGCAAAAAACGCCTTTCTTGGTGCTCAAGGTGAGTATATTATATTAAGTTGGAAAAAAGATGTCGTTTTTTTACAGCAAAGCACAAGACGAAACCAGAAAATATGGGAGGAGTACCATTCTATGGAGCAAAATGAACTCTGCCTAACTTCTGAACGTTGATGTGAGTCGTACGTTACGCAAAGTTGCAAGCCAAAACATAAGAGCATCTTATGATACCAAAAATCGGATTTTTGCTCGAAAGTTCATACAAACCTCTCACTTGCATTTGCATGTAACAAACACATGCACTTATCCATCTATACTCTTGTTATTTTTTTCTCACGTTTAGAAAGCAAGAAAATCAAAGCGAAAAGTGGCAAACTCTTCCCCCCCCCCCCTCAGTAGTCCTAGGCCCCTCCCATATTTATAATTGCGTACTAAAAATCAAACTTTGATCATGAAAATTCAGCCTTGTAGAGGCTTTGTTTCTGAGAAATATTAAATTTAGCTGAAAAGTCCCGAAAAAGCGACATTCTTTCCTTTCCAACCTAATAGTAAGTGAGTCAGAATCAGATTTCCTCAAAACTACATGTAGGGGCTTCTTCAGCATCCTAATCACGATTATGAGTTCATTATGCTTAAAAGAGTTTTTTATGCGCTTCAAGTGGTTAATATACTATAGCTCTGATCAGATTTGAGGTTTTGATCCGATCCTGTCGAACTGTATACGGTAACGTCCGAAAATCGTGCTTTGCAAAATTAACACGTGTTCATCATGCTATATAACCCTTAAGGACAATAAAAAATAGCCAAATCTGTGATTTTACCAGCAAACTATCTTATTATCACCACACAGGGAAGATTTACGTTTTTCAAAATAAAAGATTCGCTTTCTAATCAGCTCTTGTATTTTTCTATGCTTTGCAACGGCGGAATTCCCTTGAAAACGCGATTAGCCAGCTCAAAAACGAACCGCGCGAAGGTCCTGTTGCATTCGATGTTCGCAACGTCACCATTTGCAATCGTATACTATTTGCCACTCCCTGGTCTGATCAAAATAAGCTAGTGCAGGACCAGAAAAGTTTGTTGGAAAGTAGACTTGTGCTAAAAAAGTCTGTATTCGAATAACTTGTTCATTCGACGATTTAGAAAAATGAATTATTTGAATATTCGTTTATTCAAGGAGCTTTAAAAGACAGTTATTCGAATATTCGAATCTTCGAACCAATTTGAAAGACAGTTGTTCGGATATTCAATTCTAAAGACCATTCATTCGAACATTCAATGTCAAAAGAAAACTTCAGCTGTTCTATTACATTGAATACAACTATGTCCCCAATCGGTCAATCATACAAATGATATCACATGATAGAATGGTTAGCAAGGTTCCCTTTGTAAGGCATGAGTCGCGAGTCATACCACAGCATAGTGATGACAAGCCTATGTATAATCATTTGGAGTGGTGAACTATCTTCTGGAAATCGCGTCTGAGAAGTTGAATGTATAGTCACGCGCAGGCAGTTCTCTAAATCGGGTGAAGAAGCAAAGCCGTCATTAGACGCCACTTTAGCGGACTACTGGTTCTCCTCAAACAGCTTGCATAAGCATGTGAGGGACCAGTAGTCCTTCAAGGCAGCAAGTATTGGCAACATTCATTCCTTCATTCAGAGATCTCCTTTGCTTTGCCAGCCTAATCACCGCCCACATGTCAAAATACCTGAAAGATACGTTGAGCAGCGCAAGACCAGAGCAAGGCGGTCGCGACAACCTGAGCTGCTTGACTTGTGGCGGCAGCATAGTTGCGATAGGGGGAGTGATGGATCTTACCCCCTTCACTTTGAGGCCAAACTCCCGATGACCCCCTTCACCTGGGCTGAGGTTGGTATTGTACTCTGAGAATGTGATAAAAATCGTTATTAAAAGGTTTTGCAGGCTAAGTACCTCAAACAACAAGCACACTCATAAATTTACTAAAGAAACGGTATTTATATTTATTTGTATTATTTATTTATCCTCGTAGCATTTTGGAGAGCAGAAAGTGAGGGCACAAAATCAGTTAATTTTTAAAGCACATAAAATCCCTCATATCTCGCGGCCCAGAAGACCTAGAAAAAAGTCGACGGTCTACGTCGATTCTCCATGATCTCAGCTTTCGAATGGTATACAGCATGTTAGGGCTTCTTTGCTGCCCGGCTCTAAAAATCATTTGCTCCGGTAACCGATAAAAGCCAATACATTGGTGGAGCCGGATTGGAGCAAGCTAATAGTAAATATCTCCACCCCATTTTTGAAAACTGGTCTGTGTTTCCGCCCAGCAACTTATATACCGTTCGAAAGCTCAGGAAAAGGGGATTCGATCTAGACCGTCGACTTCTTTCTAGCCCCCCTCTACCGAGAGATACACCGCATTTTATCTGAAAACATAGTCATTTTCAACAGCAGATTTCTGCCAAATGAAGACCTAATCACTGCTGATTATCTATCTGCGTTAAAGAGCAAGTCTTCGTTAACAAACGTAGACCGTCGACTTTCTCGTAGCATTCATTTGGAGAGCAGAAAGTGAGGGCACAAAATCAGTTATTTTTTAAAGCACATAAAATCCCTTATATCTCGCGGCACAGAAGACCTAGAAAAAAGTCGATGGTCTACGTCGATTCTCCATGATCTCAGTTTTCGAATGGTATACAGCTTGTTAGGGCTTCTTTGCTTCCCGGCTCTAAAAATCATTTGCTTCGGTGACCCGTAAAAGCCATCACATTGTATAGATCGTCCCGAAAGTTTTTGCGCACGATTTTCAAAAATTCATAACTTTTGATTTTTCCGACCGGTTTGACTGCTTTCATTTTTATTTGAAAGGGTAAGTCATGCTCTTTATAATGACATCTCAGCTGCTTAGTAATGGTCATCTGTTATATAGATAGAAGCTCAAAACCAAAATCACTCAAAATTTGAATTTTTGTGTAGGGTCATAAAAAATTAAAAACTTGCAACAAAAATCGGAGCAGTCGGTATTGTAGGTTCTTTCACCAGCTCTTTCTAACAGTGCAAAGTTTGCTCCGATTGAGCGTCTCTATGAAAAGTTATGATTTCCGAGCAAGCAATACAAAAAGGCGAATTTGACTTATTTTGGCATTTTTCAGGGATAACATAACTTTTCATGGAGACGCTCAATCGGCGCAAACTTTGCACTGTTAGAAAGAGCTGGTGAAAGATCCTACAGTACTGACTGCTCCGATTTTTGTTGCAATTCTCCGATTTTTTATGACCCCAACAGAAAATTAAAATTTTTACCATTTTTCTTCTATTGCTCCTATCTATGCAACAGATGAACATTACTAAGCAGCTGAGAAGTCATTATAAAGAGCATGACTTACCCTTTCACATAAAAGTGAAAGCAGTCAAATCGGTTGGAAAAATCAGAAGTTATGAATTTTGAAATTCATGCGTAAAAACTTTCTGGACGACCTAATAAGAGCGAGGTGGAGCAAGTTAATAGTAAAAAATGTGCTGTGGATTGACATCGCTATCAGCACTAACGGGAACGTGAGCGAACGCGTCTATTTGAGCGTCCTTATCGTTGTTATATGTTTATGTTTTTTTGGTAAAAAATGCGCTTTTGATTGACAGTTATGCCATCATTATTAGCGCACACTCAAAAAATTATGGGAGATTGGTAAATTTCCACACCTTCACACAAAAACCTGCCCATTTCTGGAATCTATACTCTGTAAACCTAGTGCTGAAGAAGGTCACTTTTATGAAAACGCTCTAGACTCACCTTACCTAATTTGTAGAGAAGGTGGTTGGGTTCAATGAATCAAAAACTTTAAGACATTCAGAAGGATAGCATGTTATTAAATTATCCCTCAATGTTTTGGAAAGGTTGGCAGTTTAAAGAGGAAACAGCAGGCAGAATACTTTACAAAATCGCAGATGACTCGCATGTGTTCCAGTTCAATAGCGAGGCAGAAGGAGAATCTTACGCCGATGAAAATGTTGTCGAC